TGGAGAAAAAGTGTTTTAGGGGCACCTGGGTGGGTCAGTTGTTAAGTATCTGCCTTCGGCTCGGGTCATGATCCCAGAGTCCTGGGATATAGCCCCTCATCAGGCTCCCTGCACAGCAGTAAGGCTGCCCCCCAAACCCCCCACCTCGTGTTCCTGCTCTGTCACATAAATAAATAAAATCTTTTAAAGAAAAGAAAAGAAAAGAAAAGAAAGAAAAAGTGTTTTCACTGGCTGGCCACTAATCTTTATTTTTATTCCTTTTAAAACAAACATGACCAAATGGATAGAATGCAAAGCTTACTTGAAGTTTTAAGTGAAGTAAGAGGCTTCAAAGAAATTTTGAGCTCCCAAAAGACTGTATACAGTAGAACATGTATGCTGTATTTCTATAAGGAAGATATTATAGGAGTAAAAAGCAAGTTGTATTGCAGGAGAGAACGGAAAATTACTCCTATTCACCGGACAAAAAAGCACATAGCCTACTTTTGTGAGCATCAGACTTGCTGTAATAGGCATGGATCCTCTGAAATCTCAAAGGCTTTCTCTCACAGAAAATTTCATTAAACTATTCCTAGTGCTAGAATTAAATTTTGATCTCAAGCTTCTACCCTCTTTGTTTACCTAGCCCTGATACCTACCCTACAAATCTTAATCCTGTCTTGTCTATCAGTTCTGGTAATGCCTTTAGCATAGTAGATCAAGATGTTAAGTCATTCATGCTCACTGTCTTGCTCTACCAGATGTCCATCTATCTGAACATATCTCTAACAACCACGTCTTGCCTGTATCACAATCTTAATCTCAGCCTGCCCACACTGCTGCTAAAATCCATCACTTTAGAGATGGTAGTGGTAATGGGGCAGATTCCCAATGATCTATTGAGAATTACTACTGTACTTAATTAGTAGAATCAGTTTCCCAAACTCCCAATGACTAGCCAAACAGTCCCCACTATATTTTTCAAACCAAAGCAAGCTACCTAACCAACATAACCCTAATTGTGAAACACACTCTGCTTCTGATGAAAATTAATTCATAAGTATCATTCAATCATCAATATGTGCTAAAAGGTATGGCATATTAAAACATCTTCCATGTTCTCTCCTCCTTCTCAGACAAATGTAATTACATGAGCTATCAAATTGCACTTAGGGGACAGAAAAATGTTCAAAGATCAGTAAATAAGTAAATAAACATAGCAAAGAATATAGGCTGTAACCATTAGATAAAATAAAAACTTAATTCTTATTTTCAGATGGATCAGGCTGGATGAAACATAACAACCTTTAGAAACACCAAGACAGATTATGAATTTTAGTTGATGGGAGGGAACAGTCCAGAGGGAAAAAAAAATCATCACAATACTATACTAGAGCCGGGACATTTCACAAAACAGAAAAATTAGTACTGGGGTTTCTCTTCTCCAAAAAAATTTAGCCCTCTTCATAGTAAGCCCTTTCCTTTAATTCTCATCCCTATTTTGCTTCAACCAAAACACAAAGGAGTTTTTCACTCTAAAAACAAGAGACAGAAGGGCATTCAAGTAAGATCCTTTTAAGTCAGTTACTCATAAATCTGGCTGCCACTAGAATTATCTGACTCCATCACAGACCAGTTAAATCAGAATAGGTGCTGGTAGGGTCCAGGAATGGTTACTTTTTAAGAAGCCCCCTGGGTGATTCTACTCTACAGTCAGGTTTAAAAAGCACCATTCTAAATTTAAGGGATTCTCAATCAAAAATATTAAGCAATTCCCATTTTTTATTCTGTCTTATGGGAATCAAGAGAAAATAAAGTGACATTTAAATTGCCAAATTGCAACTGAAATAAATTATATTTCCCTATCTAAAAACATTAATTTCTGAAGTATAAAATCAATAGCCCTAACTATGCAACTAATTTATTTAAAATTTGACAGTGTAAGCTGCTCTTCATTTCTAAAAAGAAAGTACTATAATCTTGTCACCAGACTCCACTACTAAAACCAATCAAGATTCTTCCATTAATGCAACAAACATTTGTTAAGCTTAGGGTATATACCAGACAGTGTGTCAAGTGCAAGAAACAGTGAGAATAAGATAGGAACACATTGGTGAATAAACTCACTTATGAAAATTTCAGTCTATCATGGAAAAGAGACATTGGCCAAAACCATCAGTATGATGTCTATTACAAGTTAGGTATAAAGTACCAAGTGCTACAGAGACTTATAAACCTGGAGGATTAAACTATTCTGTGGAGTGAGAGTGGGAGAGGGAACAGGAGGAGTTAGCAAAATCAGGGAACTCCTTTCTCAAGAAATGATTACCTAAAGTTAGATCTAACCCAAGAGCAAATAGTTAATTAGGGGAAGGCAAGCATAGTGCTGGCAGCCACAGAGGGGAAAATGGCAAACACAAAGGTTCCGGTTGGAGATGGGAGAGTGGAGGGAACCAAAACATTCCAGGAACTGAGAGAAGATGAACATGGTTAGGGAAAACAGAGAAGAGGAAGAGTAGTAGCTCATAATAAGGTCAGAAAGGCACGCAGAAGCCAGACCACACACCACCCTGCAGATAATGTTAAGGGTTTGAACTTCATCCTTAAAACAGTGGGAAATCACAGCAAAGTTTTAAACAAAGGAGTGACAATCTTTTTGCAAACTGATCTGAACACAGCTAAATTTTTGCTGGGACTATCCTAAAAGAATGTCCCCACTAGTATTTCAAGAAATGTGGAAGTAATACTCTTATAGAGGTGACAGGTTCATCAAGCTGTCACAGACTGATCATATCAATCATTAAGAGCATGCATTAAAGTTTCTCTACTTGAATTCTATTTTTGCTAAAACAAGACTTGGATTGTAATTTAGGTTTGCATGAAATGCTTCCTAGGTGGAAGAACACTATTACCGGCTAGTCACCACAACTACGTAAGACCATTTGACACTTTACCTATCTCATGGGTATTAGAAAATTAAGGTTCTGTTTTATTAGTTTATCATGAGTAACTATATGCCCTATTTAATGGTTATTTATAGTTCTGTCTGCCTAGAAAGCACCCTCCATCCCCTGTGGAAATGCTCTTATGGTTTTGGTGGGAGGGCTACCAATGATGAACTTCACACCCCTGGCCACAGAAGTAAGTATATAACCTAGACTGGGCTCCTCATTGTATTCCCCCTTTATGGCTATAAGGATTGATCCAAAGGATGGCACATGACCTAGGTTAAGCCAATCCTCCAGATTTTAAATATTGAAGCTCAAAGAGATATTATTCCTCAATGTGTAAGCTCTGTAAGGGTGTGATCTTGAAGGAGCTGACAGTCAATCTCCATATCTGTGGAGAAGCCAGAGTAAAAGCAGAAACCCTAAGAGAAAATAGGACAAGCATTGACAAGAGGCAGAGGCAGTTCTGATGCTTTATGATACAGTCTAGTCAAGTCTCCGAGACCAACTGCACCACTACCTTTCTGGATTTAATTACTTCTTCCCCTTTTGCTTAAGCTATTCTGAGTTGGTTTTTGTCACTTGGAACCAAAAGAAAACTAACATCCAATGCTATGAAAAAAGGAATGAAGTTGCTTTCAGTAAATAATATTTGCTTCATTATCTCTATGCTTTAAGCATTACTTCTGTCCTCGCAGAGGAAAGCTATATAAAATATTTTATAAAATATTTATAAAATTATTTTATAATAATTTTAAAGAAATAAGACATATACACAATAAAAGATTAAATCCAAGTCTATAAACATTTTGAACTAGAAATCAAGAGACCAAGGCCCTCAACTGTGTCTTACACCACTGTTACTTTGGCATATCACTTATTCTCCGTAAGCTACAATGTCTTCACCTCAAAAGAGAGAATGCTCTACACTACTTTTTAAGGTTGCTTCCAGACTGAAATCACTGAATCATGTTAAGGACAAAAAGCATATTCCTCATTCACATTATTCCGTATTAAACAAAGAAAAAAGTGTAAATTTATTTTTAAAATAATTTAAATTCAACTCTTTTTCCTATTTAAGAGTCCAATCTTAACATACGAAATTGTGAAAGACTACTACCACAAGCAAAGGATCCCTCCAAATAAAAAAATAAGACCCCCCCAAAAGATATTCAAAAGAATATTTGGTATAAACGAATGGTTTCTTAAAAATATAGCCTTATTTTCCAATTATTAAGATATTTAGAACTAGAAAATTTTACTCTTTCTTGATCCTACTAGAGCATAACTGAGTATCCTTGTCTTGTTACTAATTTAGTCTTCAGAAAACTCTAATTTAATAGAGTGTAACACCATTTTATTTTAAACTAGCAGTGTGGGGGGACGACTCAATACAAACTTTAGGCAAGGAAAAAATAAGGTGGAGTACAAAGAATCCCGAATTAGATATCAGGGGAACAGGTTCAAGGAAATTCATTCTCAGTATCAACTGCCCTCCAAAGGGAAAGTTTCGTGGCTGAAGTTTTTAGATTCAAATGTGCTAGCTTTGTGACATTTTATTCTGCAGGTCAAGGTTTCGCCTCAAACAAACAAAACAACTACTTTGGAAAACTTTTAAGGCACACTTCGAAAGTTCAGGCCCCAGATTCATTTCACATATGGGGACATGTGTACCACAAGTGAATCGATGACACCAAAAAATCCCTCAAATTGAGATTTAAAACATTACCCTCGTATTGCCTTGGCAATAAAAAGGGGAACCTTACTCAAAGTAAGTCCTGGACGCCCAGTCTCGGGGAGAAAAGACTGCTTTTGCCCTTCCCATTTAATTAAGTAGACCAGACCCAGCTGCCCCTCCGCCAGGGTCTCAGGAGAGGAAAAGGTACTCAGTAAGTGAGGGTCAAAGCACACCGCCCCTGGGCGGGAGGCTCCTCCCTGAGGTCCCAGGACGGTCTCAGGAAGCAACAGGGCTCCGGGAGAACCGGAGACTTCGACGGTTGGGGCCTGGGGTCGCCCCGCGGCCGAGGAGCCACACGGGGAGGCCTGTGCGTGGCAGTCACCGGACAAACTCACCTCGGCGTCTTCTTTGCACTGCGGGAGCGAGGGGAACTCCAGCTTCACGTCCTCCATGGCCCCGGCCTGGGGCTCGTGGGTGGGGTGGGAGTGGGAGTGGGAGTTATCCGGCCCGCCCGACCCTCAGGCTGCCAGTAGCAGAAAAAGGAAGAAGGGCGGGTGGACCGGGGGACTGACGGGCGGGCAGCGGGCTTAAAACTAACACACGCAGACTAAAGGGTCCCAGCGATTCCGGCGGCGACGGCGGCGACAGCGGGGAAGAGGAGGGTTCGGCGGCTCATACCCGGCCGCCATGCTGCTGCCGTCTCCCTCCCCGAGTCTCCGCGCCCCTCAGGCCGCACAGGCTCGGGCACAACCGAGAGCCCTACAACCGTCTCCCCTCCCCGCACTGCCCCAACCAATCCCAGCCCACGCTTGCCTTCGGCCCGCCCCCCGCGGCCGCCAGGTGTCAGCGCGCCACCGCCCCGCCCCTTCGCCAGAGCGCAGACGCGGGGGGGGCGGGGCCTCGGAGGAGCAACGGCCTAAGCTCACCCGGTGTGTAGAAGGTGGGGCTGCGGCAGAAGGGAGGGAACGACTGAAGGTCCTGGGAAAGGCAGTGGGACAAATCAGACCAGCTCTGCCCTTTCCAGAAGGGACGTAAATCCCTTCTGTAGTACACGAACGGGCAAAACATCTAGCCACCAGAAACTGGCATCCAAAAGGGAAACTGTAGTTTCTGCCCTCAGAATCCTACGCAATCTGTGGTGAGGTTATAACCAAAAAAGTAATAAATGAAGAGGTCATCTTAAAACTGTTATGCTACGCAAAAAATGAAACACCCATCACCTTTAAGTAAACTGAAACGGTGGACTTTTAAGAATACTTGGGAACCTGACTAGAAAATCTCAAGAAACAATGGCAAGTAGAAAATCCTAAGAAAAAGAAACTGATAGTTCACTCAGTAAAATATACATCATACTGAAGGAAGGTCTCTCCCTTTATGTTTATGTTGAAATGTTAGTATTATATATAATTATATATATTAGTAAACTACATGGCTTTCAGTATCTTTTAAAAACGAGTTGAGTTTGTTAATACTATATTGTAAATGGGGGTGGCGGTACAGGATACTTTCTCTGGGCTGAGGGAGATACTGTTATCCTTTTTTAAACAAATGAGTAAAACCAAACGTAGAAGCAGAAGAATCCACACTTTCAAAATTTGTACACCAAACCGATCCTTTAAAAAAAAAAAAAAAAGTTGAAAGGTGAGAAAGTCATTAACTAAATTGTTAATTACAATGAATAAAGTTGAATCACATGGATATTTGACCAAGACCCACTTGACAAACATCCTACTATTTTTATATTGTCATTTTTATGAAACACACTGCCAACATACATAGAAAAAGAACTATTCAATAATTTGAGTATTAGATGGTTAGCTTGAGTGCTCCATTTTCTCTACCACTATGTAAACTGTTCTCTATCTTTTAAAGTTATAAAAAGACACACAATACTCTGCTAGTCAAGTTTTTAATTTGAAGAATGTGTAATTATCGATGTCATATTAACACACATTCTTTAGTGTTTATTAAACTGAGGTCAAGTTGGGTTTTTTTTAAATAGCACCTCTAATAAGATCTCAGTTGATGCCCAATGATGATTTCCTATTTTAATCTGTTAAGGCTTTAATTCCACATGATACAGAAAGAATTGTGTGTAGGTAACAGAACTTTTGCTTTGAACATTTCTGACATCAACATCCCCTACATCAGACACTCTTAGCTTGGTATCCATAGATACCTACAGAGTCAATGGGTGAACTTGGGAAATAATAAATCTCCTTTAATTTTAGTATATGCAAAATTGTGTGTATTTTTGTGTGACTTTTTCTTGGAAGAGGGTCCAGACCTTAACATTCTAAAAAGGGAACAATCATCTCACATAAATCAAGAAAACCAAGTCACATTTGTTAGCAATTACTTTTAATCATAATCTAAAAAAAGGTTATGGATGTGCATGTACTTTTCCAATTAACTATAACAGAGCCTAATCATAGTAAGTAAAAAGTAAACAAAACCTTCCATTATTGATATAACATACATGTCTATGCTTTGTATAACATGTTCTTAGGAAAACTGAATGTGGGTACAGTTTTAAAATTCAAAACTTATCATCTAAATAAAATTCATTTTGGTTATTAAATAGTTTATTTACTAAAGAACCTAAAGAACTACAATAAATGTACTTTTAAAAAAGACAAAAATTTGTGTAGGAGAACTGAATCAAACAGATTTTATTCAACTTTTCAGGATGAGGAAAACAAATGATATAAAATAAGTCATAAGAAATGCTCTCGTACTATTTCAAACTACTTTCAATGTTTTACAAAATGCTCACACAGCAAATACGAAAAGCTTTAACATAGTCTTATAACTTTTGCTGCAATAAATGCAACATTAACAAACATACAAATTTCTTCTGTATCAATCTTAAAAGTAGAGTTACTGAATTACTAATTTTTACAATGTTATTCATAGTTACTTTTATTCATGTTTTTAATTAGATCATTGCCAATACATACATTATTTTCCTTAACTTTATTTTTACATTAAGCCAGTATCTGTCATGCAGTCATCAAAAACCTTCCAGTAAATTACACAGGTTTGTAGTCCAATTTAGACTCTAGCTTCTTAGAATCAGCCACTTTTCTGACTGCTTTCATGAAGTCTTCCTGTACTACAAAATCATGATCAGCACGAATTGCAAACATACCTGTGGAGAATAAAACAACATGACTGCTATATATAATATGTGAATGATTTCAAGAGAAAACTAAGGGGGGTGGGCAAAATGGGTGAAGGCAGTCAAAAGGCACAAACTTCCAATTATAACATAAGTCCTAGAGATGCAATATATAGCATGATACCTAAATTTAATAATATTGTATTGTAGGGATGCCTGGGTGGCTCATCAGTTAAGCATCTGCCTTCAGCTCAGGTCATGATCCTAAAGTCCTGGGGATTTGGTCTACATTTGGTTCTGGGACTTGAACAAGGAACCTGCTTCTCCCTCTGCCTGCTGCTCCCCCCTGCTTGTGCCCTCTCTGACAAATAAGTAAATAAAATCATAAAAAAAAAAAACTGTACTGTGTATTTGAAAATTGCTGGAAGTTGATCTTAAAAGTTCTCGGTACCAGAAAAAAATATCTTCTTAACTACATGTGGTGATGGATGTTAACTAGATTTATTGTAGTGGTCATTTCACAATAAAAACAAATATCAAATAATGCTGTACACCTGAAATTAACATAATGCTATTTGTTCAATTATATCTCAAAAAAAAAGTTTTTTATGAAAACTAAGTAATTCCACGAAGTAAATGTGAAGAAACCTACTCTGAGCCAGTAGCTCTAATTTGTTAAAAACAACCATCATTGTTCAATTAATTTCCTTAACGACAGCAAGCATTGTTTTCCAAACCTAAAGCTAGACATCAACGAGACAACTATCTGGATATTAAAAATCTAGCTCATACAGTCCCTGTATCCAATGACATTCTGAAAAAGCAAAAGTAAAACTATCAACAAAACACATTTTTAAGCCGTACCTTCTTAACAGGCAACAACTGCCTGGAAGGAGGGAACACAAGTATGGTTTGGAAAAACACAAAACACCTCCAGTAATTTTGATGGTCTTTCCTTGTTAAAAATCAAAAGCTTAGAGAATAGGAATTATAGAAATTAAAGAAAGTCAACACTGGGCTTTGTATCAAAAACCAATGCCACTATTCACATATTAAAATTTACCTTATTTATCTACAAACTGATATTCTTATATGACTAATGTACAAATTTTTATATGACTTTGATATTCAAATATCACAACTTGGAAAACTCAAGTTATTGACAAGTTATTTGTCAACTACTACTTGACAAAGGACTGAAAGTTGTGTGTGTGTGTGTGTGTGTGTTTTGAAACATTAGGTATATCATGGATATGGGCTCAAGATTTTGTGACAATCCTAATTTCATGATAAGCTAAAGCTAGTAAGTTTTCATTATCTGCTAATTAAATGAATCCTACTAATATTTTCATTGAAGATCTGCTTATATTGACTTTCACTTACCATCAGTGGAATAGAAAATTTCAAAGGTTACTTTCTATCTTTCCTCTTAAGATTTCTATATAGTCTTTGAAATAGTCACTCCATGTTGTACTCAGAAATCAGGTAAGTGGAAATTTCTAGTCTTTTAATAGTGAAGTTACAAAACCTGTTTTGAAGGCTACAACTAAAATAGGAAAGTTATTTTTCCAAACTCTGTGCATATGACTATTTCCAAATCATTGTTTAATGAATGAATGAATCTGAGATACATTCTAATCCAAAAAGGACAATAATGTTAGGATTTGAATGGAAAAGACAACTATAATTTAATCAAGTTTATTTTCAATTACAGAAAGATATGTCAGCAAAAACGGCTTGAAGTCTAATAAAGTCTAATAAAAAGAAAACCAAAGAATTTCAGTGTCTACAAATATGAACGTCCCGGGCCACTTAGAAAGCTAAAATTATAATCCACACAGAAGTTATAGCTCTTTACTGGAAATACCACATTCTTTTATTTATTTATATATATTTATTATATATACTTATTATATATAATTATATATAATCGATATATATATATATATTTTGGGTTTTTTTTTTTAAGTGTAAGCTCAACATGCAACATGGGACTTAAACTCACAATTTAGAGACAAAAAGTTGCCATGCTCTACCTACTGAGCCAGCCAGGCACCCCATAAAAATAACTTTTTAAAAAATATGTGAGGGTGCCTGGGTGGCTCAGTGGTTAAAGCCTCTGCCTTCCGCTCAGGTCATGGTCCCGGAGTTCTGGGATCGAGCCTCACGTCAGGCTCTCTGCTCAGCAGGGAGCCTGCCTCCTCCTCTCTCTCTCTCTCTGCCTGCTTGTGATCTGTCTGTCAAATAAATGGAAAATCTTTAAAATAAATAAATAAATAAATAAATAAAATAAAAATAAAATAAAAAATAAAAAATATGTGAGATATAAACTTCTAGTTATAAATAAGTACCAGGGATGTAATGTACAACATGACTACTGCTAATATTGCTATATGATATATAGGAAAAACAGTAAATCTTAAGAGTTCTTATTATAAAGAGAAACTATTTTTCCTTTTTTCTAATTGTATCTCTATGAGAAGATAAATGTTAGCTGAGCTCTTGTGGTAATCATTACACAATATATGTAAATCAAAGCATCATGCTGTACACAGACTTATGTGGTCATATATGTTAATTACTTCTCAATAAAACTGAAAAAAGGGCATCTGGTTCAGATGGTTAAGCATCTGCCTTAGGATCAGGTCACATCTTCAGGTCCTGGGAATCAAGCCCCATGTTGGGCTCCCAGCTCAGTAGGGAAT